GTTGTTTTTTAATTTTAATAAAAAATTTAATAAAAAATAAAGAATTACAGATATCGCCCGAAGCAAAACAGTTTGGATTTTTTTATGACAAAGTTTTTTTCAAGCACAGCACATAGTACAATGCATAGCGTCCATTTATATGGAAATTTTAAAAATTAGTACTGTGCTTGAAAAAAACTTGTGATAAAAGTTATGGACTTTGTGATAAAAGTTATGGACCTAATAGCATACCAACATTTATTCTTAAACTCACTCACATAATCTCCGAACCTCATTGCATTATGATAAATAATTATTTTAAAGTTGACAGATTCACTAAAAATTTTAAAGTAGCTAAAGTCATTCCAGTTTTTAAAAAAGGCTCTTTACTAGACTTTTCCAACTATCAAGTCATTTCCCTTTTTTCTAACCTAAGCAAACTTTTTGAAAAGGCTGTGCATAACAGGCTATACAAGTTTTAATAAAAGTATAAATGCTTGTGCCAACATCAATAAAGATTTCAAAGTCAATATTCCACAACCCTTGCACTTATTGAAATTATTGAGAAGACTAGAAGAGCTCTAGATAATAAATACTTTGCATGTGGGGTGTTTATGAACGGGTGCAGCTTAAAGAATGAGACAATTTATAAACCGCTTTATTAAAATTTCTAACAATGTTTTTTTATATTTTTTAAATTTTTTCCTCTCTATTTTAGCGAATAGTTGAGCAAAAAAATAAAATAAAAAATAATTCCTGCTTTCACTGCGGCACACATTTTAAAAAGAAAGTCATTTTTCAACTCGATCAGAAATCACTTCAACAGTGAATCTTGCTGTTCAGTCTTGTTTTCCGATGAAAAATTTTTTGATCAAAATAGACAATTTAATAGAAAAAATGATATTGTGTATGCTCAATCAAGATCAGCAGCAAATCAAGACGTTGGTACCAGATAAAATCGTAAGTATCCATTCAAAGACATGGTTTGGATTGGGGTAACTTACAATGGACCAAGAGAAGTAAATATTTTACCAGAAAAATTGAAGTTCAATACAAATTTTTGTATTCAAAAGGTGCTTCATTGTTAAAAGGGATGCACAGTGACTCAGGACAATCAAAAAACGGCAAAAATTAAATAAAAATTGACATAAATTGTAAACAAATAATGTTATATATTAAAATAATAATTTTTAAGTCAAAGATTTCAAATTTGTTAATAATTTTTTTTAACGCGCAGCTTCGACGCGTAAAATGCGCGCTTACGCGTGTTAAAGGTGACTATACGCGTACAAAATTTTTTTTTTTAGTTTATAGAATCTTCAAGACAAACACATAATTTTAATATATTACTCTACTTGATATTTTTATAAAAATGATTTTTAAAGGATGTTGATACATAGAGAAAAAATACTGTATTTTTTTACATTAAATTTATTATTTACATTACAATTAATTTAAAAACATCATCCGGTAACAGTTTTCCTCAATAGCTCTTATGTTTTCTAAAAGATATGCTTGATATTTTTGGATCTGATCTTACTAGAAGGTAGTGCCTCTGATTCATCATTGTGTTTAATCTTGATATTTTTGCCGTGTGCTTAAGTTTAAATAAACAGATAAGAATTTCTTATCTGTTAATTTAAACTCTCTAGTGCATCTTTCGAATATACCCCGATTGGCAAAGGTAATTTATTTAATATAGAAGAACTATGCAGTAGCAGTTTATGTACAGTAGGAGGCATAACATACCAGTTGAATAAACTCACTATACGTTTAGATGTTTCAGTGCAGTATAAATCTAATTCATTAATATTAATAGGATATCCACAAGATATGGTTATAAGAATATTATGCAATCTTTTAATTAAATCACAATCAACTTTAGTAATTTCAGAAAAAAACTTCACTATTTTTAAATGCTCTTCTGGCAGTGTTGCTGTCATTCGCGTTTCCAGACCAAGTTTTAGGCATATCAACGTATAGGCTTAACCGTTCTCTGAAGAGTACCTGAATCTCTTTTTTTTTTAAGTCTACAGATAGTTTTTACTCAATTGTTTTTGGCTTTTTAATTTCAATTTTATAACTCAAATAAAGAATGAACTCCAAGCATTTTATCCAGCAATGCAAAGCTGAAATTCCGAGCCCCAAGGCCGAGTCATTCTCATTTTTTGCTTTCAATAAATCAATATTGTTCATTTCCTTGAGTTAAGCGTTGCACACATTGCAGGATTGAGTGGATTTTGTTTCTGTAAGTGCGCTAACTACTTTATTATCAAACATTGTAAGATCAATCTTATAGCTGATATTAAATGTCAAAATTCTTCCTGCAATATTAAAAACTTTGCAAAACGTCTTTAAGGTATTTATTTGAATTTTTAGATCTGATTCTTCTTCTCTGGATAAAATTGGACTCTCTATTTTATATTGTAGATGAAGAGGTCTACAAAAGTGGCAGCTTTTTATTTTTCCAAATTTCGCCATCTTCTACTTTGAGCAATAAAGGCACAAAAGCTGTACTGAAAAGATTTTCTATGCTAAAGTTCTATACTTGCGTTGCTTGTATCGTACTTCTGTTTATAAATATTTTTGCTTGATGCTCCATTAAAACCAATCTTTCCATATAAAACTCCAAATATTTCATCACTTTGACCAAAATTAGGCATATCAATCGTTTCTGTTATTCTACTCACAGTGTGAACTAACATGCTTTGAAGAGTACACTTTGCAGAAATTTCAGAAAAATGTATATTTTCAGGATAGCATTTCAATTTTTCCACGAAAATATCGTGCAAGGTAGGATAAATATGTACGTTGTGTACAAGAGCTGAGTTTCTGATCATTTGATATTGTTTATCGCTGAGATCAGTATTCATTTTTAATGCAAGAGCATCCTCTACACTCATGTTAATGGGAAAGGTTTTATCCAAAGTTTTATCAACTTTTTCTATCTCTAAAATATTAGATATATTGTTTTTTAAAACTGAGGCTTTTTTTTTCTTCAGCAACATTTGCACTTTTTGCAGAAGCTAAAAATAGAGCTTCATGATGTTCAGTGGCTAGTTATTTTCTTTTTTTTCTTTTGCTTCTCTCTCCAAGAACACTCCATTGTTTATGGGGCCTTCCAGAACCAAAATGGCTATTTTTATTGTTCATAAGATTTCTTTGAAGCCAACGATTTTCTTTTTGTATAAATGTATCATAGTTTCGTCCACATTGTTTTAGTTTTTTCTTCACCTTTAAAATAAATATAACTAAAGCAAGCTTTTATTTAAGTTTATTTAAGTTTTCTAAAAATCGAAAAAATCAGAAAAGATCAGATTTTTTTTTTCTTTTTAGTATATTTGAAATATATAGAGGCAAAATATTATTTTAAAAATAAATATACACTTTTATTAAAAAACTTCTAAAAACTTGTCTCATTCTTTACGCTGCACCCGTTAGATTTGCAAAAAGCTTTTGATAGTGGGGATCACTCCATTCTTCTCACAAAATTAGAATACTATAGATTCAGAAGCATTCCTCTAAAATGGTTTACTTCATATCTCCAAAACAGGACACAGTTTTTTTCTATTAATGGCATTAAATCTGATTTAAAGAATTGCTCAAATGGCGTCCCACAAGGTGCAGTTTTAGGACTACTTTTTTTTCTTCTACTTATTAATGACTGAAATAATGAATAGTTAATAAATTAAATACTTCTGCATGTTAGTATCATCAGCAAAATATCATTTTGCTAATGATACTAACATGTTAACGGTTGACAAATCACTAAACAAAATCAACAAATATATTATTTATGATCTTGAAAATCTTGTTCATTGGCTTCTTTCTAATAAACTTCCTTCCAATTCTAACAAAACAGAGCTAATTATCTTTAAATCCAGTCTGGCAACAATAGATAAGCACTTGAATTTCAGACTAGGCGGAAAATAAATTTATCCTTTACACTCTATTAAATATCTTGGGATTAAAAATGATTCTAATCATTCTTTTCAAGGCCATCTAAATGAAATGAAACTCAGCAGATCTAATGGAATGCTAGCCAAAATCCGTAAATTTAGAAACTTTGCTAAATATATATTATGCTATTTTTGGGTCCCATCTAGGATATGCATGTCAAGTATGGGAACAATCTCTTAAATAAATCTTTTAAGGTTGTCCCATCTCTAAAATAAAGCCTTGAAAAAAATATAATTTAAGTATAATAATTTAAATATAATGTGTTATACTTAACTGGTATTCTTAACTGCCAATTTGTCTGGAATTATCATCACAAAAACCTTCTCCTATTATTCAACAATTTCTATACAATTACAATTTGTCACAATCCTCTTCGTTCCATTAATAACTTAAACATATTCCAAAACATAACTCTGCTAAAAATAAACCCAATAAATATCAATGTATTAGCTCATGGAACAAATTACCTCCTGATCTGAAATTTCTTAATTCAAACTCTAAATTCAAAAGCAAGCATTTTAATTATTAGTTAAAAAAATACAAATTAAATATTTCTACAAATTAATATTGATTTTCTAAAATATTTCTAATAATTCGTGATCCTTCAGTTTTAAATTTGATATTTTTAACAGTGTAAAATTCTTTATTTATCCATCTACATCTAGTTCCTCCATTTTCCTACCAGCCATTTTTAATACTTTTATTAAATTTTTTATTCCATTGTTAATATTAATATTAGTACTAATTTTTTGATATTCTTTATTTATCTGTCTGTTTGTTTATCTCTTTTCATTAAACTATTTTCTACTTCTTTGTTGTTGCTCTCATTATTTACTAAATATTTGTTTGCTGCTGTTATCTTTAATTAAGTAATTTTATGTTTAAAGCATGGCCTACTTTATAGAAGGCCTCGACACCGTGCGGGAATTTTTTTGACTGAAGGCCGATTTAAAACTGTTACAAACGCATTTTTTAGTTGGAAAAGGAGTAAAATATTAGTTAGGTTTTTTCAGAAAAATTTACAGCTATTCTTCAAATAAATTTAATTTAAATTATTTAGAATGCCTTTAAAATGTTGTGTTCCAAACTGTTCCTCAAATTATAAGTCTTCAGCTTGTAATGTATATGTGTATAAATTCCCTCGTGAAGTATGTGAGAAAACTAAATGGTTTATGAGCATCCCTCGTTTAAATTGGACCGTAACAAAATACACCGTTGTTTGTAAATTGGATTGGCCAGATGATGCAGAGTTTAAATTATGTCGTGGTAAATTGAGACCAATTCATCCTCCATGTTTCCAAATATATCTAAAAGTTGTCTATCCTCTCCACCACCTAAAACGAGAAAGACTTTATCTTCTTCTTCAAAAAGAGGTATCAGAAAAGATGAATTAGAAGAATATAAAATAATTGATAATTTAATTTTTGAAGAAATCGAAAAACACTTATCAACTTATAATAATTTGATTTCATACAAGCAAAATAATTCAAATTTCATTTCTAAAATATTTAATTGTGGTGTTCCACTATTTTTGCTAATAATAAATCAAAGTTTGTCGTTCGAAGCATTTCATTTTGGCTCAAAATGTACTATTAAATCTCTGGCAAATAACAGAACCACTTTCCTTTGTACAAAGTCATCTTTAAATGAAGCCCTTAGATATCTGAAAGTTGAAGATAAGGATCATAAAACTCAAGTAATGTTTGAGCATTTAAATGTAATGGGAGATCATACTGTTGGCTGTGCTGTGTATTCTCCAGATATAATAACCAGAGCTTTTGAATATTTTGCAACAAGTCGTTCCACTTACCATCAATTAGGTTATGATTATCAGTTGCCAAGTATTCGAACTTTGACACGTATAACTTCAAAAATAAACTCTCAAAATGATGTTACTTTTTTAAGTTCTGTGTTATCGAACCTTGATGAAAAAACTAAAAGAAATCAAGCTTATGTAATTTTTTTTTGGGAAGATTTAGTACAAAAAAAATTAGATTTGTTATTGGTGTATTTTTCTGATTATTTATTATTTCTTGTATATTTAAAAATTTGATTTAAATGTTTCTATTCAACTTTACAAACTATTTTAGCTTATAGAATAGTTGTCAAATTAACGTCAAGAAACTCATTTTATAAAAATGCATCCAAAATTTTTTCAAATACAATAATTAGTTATTAAATAATTAGTGTTAGCAAAGCTGTACAGCATTTTTCTCTTTTAATAAACCGCCATTTTATTTTTAAATCGGCCTTCAGTCAAAAAAATTCCCGCACGGTGTCGAGGCCTTCTATTAAGTAGGCCATGGTTTAAAGTAATGAAAACATTAATAAACACTTAAAAAAGTAGCGTAGTCACTATACTCAGCAAAATGTAAAAAAAAAAAAAGATATTACCATAGTGACAAAATGCAACATATTACCATAGTGACAACACGCAAATTTACAGCTAACAAAAACTTTAAACCTAACCATATTTTCTGTGGAAAAAGTGATTATAAACAACATTTGGAACATACATTTAAAAGCGTAATTTTTTTTTTAAACGACTGAATATTTACCTTTGTACCAATATTCATCCTGTACCAATTCTCCCTACTCTCCCCTAAGTTTTAAAATGGATATAAGCATGAAAAAAAAGTTTAACTTGTGACATTCAAAAGTCCGGATTTTAAATAACCACCCGTAATAATTGTGGTAAACAGTTTTATTCAAAACATATCTAGCTTAACACATTATTTTTATAATTTTAGCAACTTTGTTGCACAATTCCATATAAAATTCTATATGATAATTCCGGGTATCATTAGGTAGTAATTTCTTTTTTGAAGATGGATGAAAAAATCTTCCTTTTGTTCTATCAACATTTAGTGACAACTTATTTATTTTAAATCAATCACAAATTTCTTTAATTCAATGTTTATTTTTTGAAATAAATGCTGTAATGCAGCTATGAGATAAAATGAGATTTGTATTATCGGCAAAAATGACGGTCATCAAATCAGAAGCATTAGGGAGATAATAAATGTAAATTAAAATCAGAAAGGACCCTAGTATAGAGCCCTGAAGATCTCTACAAGCTATATAAAGTAAATTGAAAGAGATTGTTGTATTACTTTGAAACAAACTGTTACGGTTAAAAACGGTTACTGTTGCTCTTACAAAGTGTTTACGGTTATTTAAATAACGACGTGAAAAAACTATTAACATTTTAACTACTGCGTTACCAGTATTGAAGTCATCAAATCATTTTTGAAACCTACTAATTTTAGTAGGTCTACCAAAACATATTTGAGAGGTTTACCTCAAAAACTTTTGGAGGTTCACCAAAACGTATTTTGGAGGTCCGCCATAACAAATTTTGAAGGTTTGCCAAAAGATATCTTGGAAGTCCACCACAATAAATTTTGGAGTTTTACCAAACATAGTTTGAATTTCCACTAAAACATATTTAGCATAATAATTAACTTACTTATTAACACACTTTTTAAGAATTTTTTTAATTCTAATTTCTTATTCTACTTTACACCGCAGTAGTTTTTTTTACATTTACTTTTATCTTCTTTTGTTGACTTGATTGATTTTTATTGATTTTTGTTAATTTGATTATTCAATAAAAACATGAAATAAATGGGATTTCCAAAAAAAACATAAATATATACATATTTAATTTAAAAAAACATATTTATATAATAATTTTTAATTTTTTTTTCTTTAGGAAAATGTATTACAATGTCGTCATCATGATAATACTTTCATCTCTACAATTTATGAACTCTTTTCCTACTAAGAGACTTAAAAATGCTTCTCACAAGTCCAAGCATACAAAAGTTGAAACAGTTGATGGAAAAAAAACACAAGTTGAACTTTTGAAGCGTTCTACTTATCCATCATTAGGGTATAATGGTTTTTATAATAGTCAAGAGTCACCAATGATTCAAACAAATCATGGTTATAACAGTCCTATGGTTCCAATGACTTCTACAAAACACGATTATAATCTCATGAATCCAATAGTTCCTGCGAATCATAACTTTAAAAGTTATGTAGACCAAGCAGTTTCTACAAACCATTATTATAATAATCATGTTGCTCCAACAATCCCTTCAAGCAATTATTATAACAACCATGTGAATCAAATTATTCCTAAACATCTTGAATACAACAGTCATGCTAATCCGATGATTCCTAAAAACCGCGGTTATAACAATCATGTTTCTCCAATAATTTCTTCACATCAGTATTTTAACAGCTATGGAGCTTCAATATTTCCTGAAAATCGCAATTACAATAGTCACGTGGCTCAAACGATACCTAAAAATCTTGGTTCTAATTTAGCATACAATCTAAATAGTAACTATAATCCAGCCAATAACTTTAACTACAATAATCCTCATCAAAGTAATCCTTTGCCACTGTGTTCTAACCTATTTCATCAAAATCAAAATGGCATTCACTGCATTGATAAAAGTCCTAATTACCAATATAATGTATTACCTTACGATTCAAATAAAAAGTATCCTCAAATCCATCAATTAGAAAATCAGCATGTAAATCTAGTAACAAATGATCTACATAATATTTTGCACAATAACAACATACTTGACTTGACTAATGGTTTTAACGAACACGGAGATAAAATAGCACCTGCGTTGCCATTATCGACAAATAATGTTTACCATAATCAATTAGACTCTGTGGATGGGTATTGCTATAACTGCTGGTACGATGCAAGTGATGAGTACTTACACAATCTTGGTTACTCCCAAATATATCCAACGCTTCCCTTAGCTGTTGATACTATACTTGCGCATGAGAAAGTTAAATTAGAAAATAATGATGATAAAAAGAAAAACGAAAAAAAAGAAGACAAAGATAAAAACAGCAATAATGAAAACAATCAAAATGAAGAAAAAGATAATAAAAAACTGAACGAGCAAAAAGATAAAGACAGCGATAAAGATAAAGATAAAGAAAGTACAGAGAAGCAAGAAGATAACGATAAAACTAACAACAAAGAAAAAAGCGATAAAAACAATCTAAAAGATGATAACGATAAAAATAGCAACAAAGATAAAAACGATAAAAACAACTCAAAAGAAGATAATGATAAAACTAAAAACAAAGAAAAAAACGATAAAAATATTCCAAAAGAAGCTAACGATGAAACTAGCAATAAAGAAAAAAACGATAAAAACAGTCTAAAAGTAGCTAACAATGAAACTAGTAACAAAGAAAAAAACGATAAGAACAACCCAAAAGAAGATAACGATAAAATTAACAACAAAGAAAAAAACGATAAAAACAGCCCAAAAGAAGATAACGATAAAATTAATAACAAAGAAAAATACGATAAAAATAATGTAAAAGAAGAAAAGGATAAAAGCAACAACAAAGAAAAAAACGATAAAAATAATCTAAAAGAAGATAACGATAAAAGTAATAATAAAGAAAAAAACGATAAAGACAACCCAAAAGAAAATAACGATAAAATTAACAACAAAGAAAAAAACGATAAAAACAGCCCAAAAGAAGATAACGATAAAATTAATAACAAAGAAAAATACGATAAAAATAATGTAAAAGAAGAAAAGGATAAAAGCAACAACAAAGAAAAAAACGATAAAAATAATCTAAAAGAAGATAACGATAAAAGTAATAATAAAGAAAAAAACGATAAAGACAACCCAAAAGAAAATAACGATAAAACTAACAATAAAGAAAAATACGAAAACAACAACCCAAAAGAAGATAACGATAAAAATATCATCAAAGAAAAAAATATTTCAAATAACCCAAAAGATGATAACGATGAAAATAAGAAAAAAGAAAAAAACAATGAGAACAGCCCAAGTGATAATAATGATAAAAAAAAACAACAAGAAAAAAATAATAAGTACAACAACAATGGAGAAAACAATAAAGGCACGTTAGAAGAAAAAGATAAAAATAAAGATAAAGAAAAAAATGATAGATCAGAAGAAAAGAAAGATGAGAACGAAGATAAGAAAAATGAGAACGAAAATAAAATCAAAAACAGCAATAATAAAGAAGAACGCAACAAAAGCAACGAAAAAGAATTAAAAAATGATAATAAAAGCGAAAATGAAAAAGAAAAAAATAATAAGGAAAAAGAAGTTAAGGAAAAAAATATTGATAAAAAAGAGGAAAAAGAAAATAGCAAAAAAGATGAAAAAAAAGAAGAAAAAAAGGTTAACAAGTTAAAGGAAATCGTCAACAAGATAGAAGGAAAAAATAACAAAAGAAATGTAAATCATAAAGAGAGAGTCTTGTATTTTATGAATGAGGGAAAAAATGAAAATACCAACGAGGACGAAAAGAAAGCAAACAAAGAAAACAGTAACGAGAAAGAAAAAATTGAAGAAAAAAACAAAGAAGAAAGTGCTGATTTGAACACGGAGTTAAATGGAAAGAATCAAAAATACAATGAGAAAGAAAAAAAAGTTAACGAAAAAAATTACGAGAAAGAAATTAGTTTTGAGAATGAAAAAAAAAAAGAAAATGAATCGACTAATGTTGACAATATAAATGCAGAAAAACAAGAAAACAACATTAAGGAAGAAAAAAAAGAAAAAAACGAAGATAAAAAAGAAAAGAATGAAGACAAAAATGAAAACAACGAAAATAACAAAGAAAACATCAAAGATAAAAAAGAAAACAACGAAGATAAGGAAGAAAATGACGAAAATAAAAAAGAAAATAACGAAGGTAAGACAGAAAAAGGTGAAGATAAAAAAGAAAACAACAAAGATAACAAAGAAAATAACGAAGATAAGAAGCAAAATGACGAATATAAAAAAGAAAACAACAAAGATAAAGAAGAAAACAATGAAGATAAAAAAGAAAATGACAAAAATAAAAAGGAAAATAAGGAATATAAGACAGAAAACAACGAAGATAAAAAAGAAAATAACGAAAATAAAAAAGAGAACACCGAAGATAAAAAAGAAAACACCGAAGATAAAAAAGAAAACACTGAAGATAAAAAAGAAAACACCGAAGATAAAAAAGAAAACAACGAAGATAAAAAAGAAAACAACGAAGATGAAAAAGTAAACAACGAAGATAAAAAAGAAAACAAAGAAGATAAAAATAAAAACAACGAAGAAAAGAAAGAAAATGACGAAAAAAAACCCGAAGACAACGAAAATAAAAACGAAAACAATAGTGACAATAAAGAAAATATTATTACAAAAGAAGAAAAAAAAGAAACAAACAAAATTAAGGAAGACAAAAACGTAAACAATGAAAATAAAAAAGAAAAAAATGATGATAAAAAAGAAGAAAATAAAACCACAAAAGAAGGAATGAAGGAAACTTGCAACTTTAAAAAAGAAACAAAAGAAAAACACATCGAAGAAGAAAAAAATGAAAACAACAAAGATAAAAAAGAAAACGGTGATAATAAAAAGGAAGAAAATAGTATTGAAAAAGGAGAAACAAGTGAAACTAACAACACTGAAAAAGGAAAAAATATAAACAACGAAGATAAAAAAGAAAACAATGATATTAGGAAGGAAGAAAGTCCTATTGAAAAAGAAGAAAGTAACGAAACCAACAATATCAAGGAAGACAAAAAGGAAAGCAACAAAGATAAAAAAGAAAATGATGGTAATGAAAAAGAAGAAAGTAATATTAAAGAAGAAAGAAATGAAACAAGCAACAACGAGGAAGAAAAAAAAGTAAACAACGAAGTAAACAAAGAAAATGATAACAAAAAAATGGAAGAAAGTCATAGTGAAAAAGAAGATCAAAAAGAATCAAACAACATTAAGGAAGAAAAAAAATTAAACAACGAAAATAATGATGACAAAACGGAAGAAAGTAATATAGAAAAAGAAGAAAAAAACAAAATGAATAAAAACGAGGAAGAAAAACACAAATATAACAAAGGTGAAAAAGAAAATGATGATAAAAAAAAAGAAGAAAATGCAACTGACAAAGAAGAAAAAAACAAAATAAACAACGTTGAGGAAGAAAAAAAAGAAAATAACGAAGATAAAAAAGAAAAAAGTGATAATAAAAAGGAAGAAAGTAGTAGCAAGAATGAAGAAAAAAAACAAACAAACGAGAATAATGGGAGCGAAGAACAAATAAACGAAAATAACAAAAAAGACGAAAAATAGACCAAAAGGAAATAGCAGCTTTGATAAACCAGAAAATGATAATATATATATATATATATATATATATATATATATATATATATATATATATATATATATATATATATATATATATATATATATATATATATATATATATATATATATATATATATATATATATATATATATATATATATATATATATCTACTGCACATACAAATATCTTCCTGCGCACCCCGTCATTTTCTTATTTTCCAAAATAAATACGACCTATTTTGTGGTTTCTTTTACTGCACCTCAAAAGTTTTAATGATGTTTAGATCTACTTGTAACAAAATTTTTTAGAAGGTAAAAATAAATGCTTTTGAAATATAAATTAATTTTGTACGAAAGTTTTTTATACGAACTAAATAACTTTCATTTGTAATTTATTATAAAGGTATAGTAAAAAAAAAGAGTTGAATAAAGACTATAGAGTTTTCTAATAGAATTTTCGAAACAAAGATAAAACCTTAAAAATCAAGAGGCTGAGTTGAATATTATTATATTAATGGCAAGACTGACCTGTTCCTTATTTATTGAGAAAATATCTTATTATATCTTTTAATATTCATTTTTTATTTGTTCCTTTTTTAACATTGTTATTTATATTATACATTTTACAAATTCCAAATTACGTATTATAAACTAAATAGTGCAAAACTTATAAAAAATGCTAAACACTAAAACTATTATGTATAGTTTAACTTTCTAACTATCAATTTTCCTTTTTTTTCTGGATGATTAGAATCTTTTTGGAAATGTCAAAAAAATCTCATATTTTAATCCCAATACTCGCAAATTAAAGTTTATTGCTTAAGATCATACATATTTAAAAGTTATAAAAGTCTCAAAGTGTTTTCTCACTTTTGCTTTTAAGATAAGAAACCATTCTAACTGGAATAATTGCTAGCCTTTTACTTACAATAGCAGAGAATCTGCTTTAAATATTGTCAAAATAAATGTATATACATATTTTATAAGTGGGAAATGGTAACAGGTTTTTTTTAAAGACTTAATCATAGAGTACGCTTGAACATTTGAAAGGCTTTTTGAATAGATCTAGTTTAAAAGTTTTAAAACAATGCCAAAAAACTAAAAAAGCTATTACATAAAAATGATTAATTTATTACAATACCTGTTACTTAACAAGCAAGCTACATGTAATGCAATATCAAGTCACGTGTTTTTACAACCTAAGGAAAAAGGTAAATTTAAAAGAAACAATGGAATTTAAATAGGTGAAAGATTTTTTTCTAGTGTGTTTGTTTATAGAATTTTCAGCATATAAAGTATTAAAAAGAGATAAATGAAGTTATAGAATGTTGTTCAAACCTCCTCTAAGTTCAACTCGCCACTTATTCTTTTTTATTTATTTTTATTCTTTTTATTTATTTTGATTGGGAGACAGTTAAGTCTTGAAAATGATTGCTCTCAAAAAATTTAAAACGTTTTCTAAATAAATAAAAACAAAACGTTCCCAATCTCCTTAAAAACTGAAAACACTAACAGCATGTTACACGATTCAGAAATTGACAAATTAATGATGTGAATACAGCGCCTTTGAAAGGCCATTCATATGCTTAAAGAAAAAATCAGATCGATCATATTTTTTTACCGTTGAAGCCATTAAAAAGTAAATTAAAGTAAATTTAACAACATTAAATAAGTATATACCTAAAGTCACTACAATAAGTATATACCTAAAGTCACTACAATAAGTATATACCTAAAGTCACTACAATAAGTATATACCTAAAGTCACTACAATAAGTATATACCTAAAGTCACTACAATAAGTATATACCTAAAGTCACTACAATAAGTATATACCTAAAGTCACTACAATAAGCATATACCTAAAGTCACTACAATAAGTATATACCTAAAGTCGCTACAATAAGTATATACCTAAAGTCACTACAATAAGTATATACCTAAAGTCACTACAATAAGTATATACTTAAAGTCACTACAATAAGTATATACCTAAAGTCACTACAATAAGTTAACCGAATTAAAAACATTAAATGTTTTCAGAGTAAAAATTTTTGATATCAATTTAATATAAAAAAAGACTTTATTCAGTTTACTCATTGTAGTCATTTTAGAAATAACATAAGTAATTTTGAAAAATATTTTTATAATGTAGATTTTACATTATTTCATCAAGTAAAAAATTGTTTTTGAGTTAATTGTTAGTAGTAATATGTATTTTATGAAAAATACGCTTAAATGTTTATGCAAATAAAAGTTTTAACAATATCTAAATATAATAATTGGCAGCTCTGGCTGCCTACGCCTGTCATAGTTAATCGGGTGCCCCTTGGAAAAATTATTAGGTAATTTATATATTAGAAAAATTAGGTTATTTTATTTTTATATTTAGATAAAAATTTATATATATTTTTATAGATTTATCAAACGATAGCCAAGTTTACCCATTTTTTGAAGTAAGAAGTTTAACTTTTTAGCTATAGGAAAAAAAATGTGATAAGGGAAAGTCGGGTAACCTCGGACAGCGAATAAATCCGAACACTTTATGTACAGATTAAACTAAAGAAGCTGTGACTTCAAATAAAATAAAAACATTACTTGAGTGAAAATAAGGCATATGCAAAATATCTATCATAATACGTCGATTGGGAATGCAAGAGATTGTTTTCCACCACCAGAAAAGCGATGTATCATCATTTTTGATTCACATATTAATAAATCTAATTTTTGTGTAAACTAATAACTTTTAACTAATTAAACACTTTAATTCATTGATTTTAAAACTAATATTTTTGAATGAGGTATGATCGGGTGTTTAGAGGGTGGTTCCTGACGACTTAATCCATTTACATTTAAAAACGAGCAGCTTTTTTATATGAATAATAATATATTTAATATAAAACACAAACCCATAATAGTAATTCATTTAATTTAAATAAAAAGACCTAACATTTAAAACGTGTTAATTTTCATTAGTAAAAAGCTAATGTTTGTATTTCTACACGATGGCATTTTCATTTCCATTCCTTATATATCAGAGGCAATTTTAAAGCAATTTTTTAAAAATGTGTTGATAACATTCGAATGCTAATTAATTGCATATTGCATATGTGTCACACTAGTAAAAAGAGGTAAAATCATTGTTAAACTATGTTTTCGAGGCTACCCTCCAATTTTGAAACATGCCTTTTTTTTACCATTTTTTCTTTTTTTTTAAAATTATGATTTTAAAATTTTTTTAATAAATATGTTTTTTAATTTTATGTTTTGTATATTATTTAGGTACACTATAACTATTTTTTTGTTTCTAATTTAGTAGTTAAATTTAGTAGATAAATGTTTATACTTTTGACAAAGTCTTTCGACAGATTGTCTTCTGTTAGTACATGTGTACAACCTATTTTCTCCTAAGTGTCTGGGGCCACCCGACTTTTCCCTACTGGTCAAACAAAAAATATTGAAGTTAGATGTTTTCTGTCACAACATTCTCAGAAAAAAGAAAGTACAACTTATAAAATTAATATTCATTCACATTTTTATTAGTAGATTATAAAAAAATATGTCTCTATTATTTAAAAAATAAAGATTGTTCTAGGTACGTTTTCGGACGAGTCATTCTTTAAAGTAATAATAGAAAACTTTTTCCATTGTACAGCATACAAAAGGTTTTATCCTAACTGCGTAAAAATAGTAAAGAATCCACTCCCAATAAAGATCTAGCGCGCCATTTTTGGGCAAGGAGGCGTCTAAAAAGACGTTTCTACAAAGTGGTTGGGAAAGAACACAAAGCCAGTATATAGAGGTTCTTGAAATTTAATTAATACCCCTAATGAAACAATGATTTAATTATGTAAAAATTTTAAATATTTGCAAAAAAGTGTAATTTCTCATACAGAAAAAAGTGTTGACCGCCTAATGTCAAACCCATGTTGACCGCCTAATGTCAAAGCCATTGACCGCCTAATGTCAAACCCATTAAAAACATGAGTTAGTAAGGTAAGAGATTTGTAAAAAAATTATAAATAACAAGACTTTATGGAAAGTCTTAATTTGATCTAGCATAATAAATTTAAGCTAATAAAAATATAAAAAAATAACTTGCAAGCATACCACAGCATATTAACGCTGTTAATGCAAATAAAGGCATTAAAAACATTAATGCCTAACTGCTGTCACTAATCAATATATATTCAAAATGTTAAAATTTTTCAGTTTATTTATTATCAAGAATTATTTTCTAATTGAAAATAAAGCTTTAAATTACGGGTTTTTCTTATTGCTAAAAAATTTATTTTTACATTGTGTGTACAAAAATTACCATTGGTTGTAATATGGTCACCCACTTTATCACAAAAGAAAAATTATATTCAAGTTCAACTAATTGTTTTAATCAATCAAAAATTAATGACTTTTCATCAAGAGTGGAGAATTTGCCATCAATCAATAGAGTCGCTTTAAGAGTTTTTAAGGTCATTAATATAAATGAAAATATCAAAAATGGAAACTTGCGCTCATCCTAGAGGTCATGAAAAATAATGGGTAGTATTGTTCTCAAGTTCAACTTATTTACTGCGCTTAAAAAGAATAACTCAATAGCTTATAAAGTATTTTCCAGGCTTTCTACACTATATGAAAAGAAAAAACAAAACAAAAAAAAAACAACAAGTAGGTCAAACTTTACACAAGTCTTTAATATGTCAAAATTAATTGGCTTTCCTTCATCGATCACGCCTTTCTGTTTTTATTGCTAGCAAATCAGCAGCAGAACAAGAGGATAAGTCTTTTTAGAGGTTAAGTATTTGGTTTTTAGATGCAATATTTAAATTTTGTTTATTAAAGGTTTAACAACTTTGCTAATAATAGTAACTGATTGGGAGGTGAAGGTGTCAGAACTATCTCCAGACTTTCAAATATTGGAACCTTTGATGTCATTGTTCAGAATTAAGAGAACAATATTCAGTTAAAAACTTTTTAAATTGTTTAGATTTTAGTTTTTTAAGCGAGTTCTGGATAGCATTTTTGTAAGTCTGTAACCGAAACGTTTTTCGGAAATTCAGCAAAGAGTTTAAGCAAGAAATAGCTTTAGCGACGGAAGCAAAAGTAATGTCTTACAATAAATTAACCTATTTTAATTTGAGAATTGCCTTTGTTAATAACGCTTTTAAAGATCTTACAAAAGTCTCTCAAACCCTAATTCTGAGCTAATATAAAAGATTTTGTAATCTGAAAACAATGGATCTTAGCGTCAGACAAGAATCTTTTTGTATTAATTTCTTGCGATGATTAAAAAAAGTTTGTTTTCAAGAAAGTTGTCTAGTTAAAAAGATAAAAAATAATAAGAAATAGCAGTTGCACAGATTTTAAACAGGTGAATCTAAACTTAAAAATCACAATGATATGCGGATCTTTTAATCAATTTTAAACTAATCTTAACTTTAAAATCGATGAAAAGGAATAAATTCCTGAATTAAAGAAATAACGCAGAACAAGGCCAACAACACGGGTTTTGAAGTAGAGGGGGGGGGGGGGGAAACACAATCGCTTCTATATCTAGAACTTTCTTTAAAAAAAAAAGGT